TTTTAAAAAGGCACATGCTTGAGCACAGGCTCCCCCTGCTCGGTGACCGGCACGGCCCTCCAGGCGCTCACACACCCTCTGCCCTCAGACGGCCTCGGAGCTGGTGGCTGCCTGTTGGGATGGGGCGGGCGGATCCCGGGCAGAGTCCGATCTGACCGGCCACCAGGTGCTAACCGGGTGGGTAACGAGGGCTGCTCTTGTGTGTGTTTGAAGTTCCCTGTAGTGAAAGGATTCTTAAAATTATGTAGATAGAAAACTTAAATGTATATATCTGTTTTTTAAGATATAACATACAGGTCTTCACGTAGTTATACTTTTACATGTAACATAGCACTCATGTACATGGTACATGCATGTAAGTGTACATGTCATAGGTAACACACACACACACACATGCCCAGAGTCTGACCCGTCCCACCCTCCACTGCCACATCCCCTGTCCTTTCCCTCCTGGGTCTCTGCCGGAGCCTCCCAACTAGCATCCTGCTCCGGCCCTCGCCCCTGTCCGTCTGCACACAGGGCGTCAGTTAAAGGGGAGCAAACGGGGCGCATCGTCCCCCCCGGAGCGAAGCCCTCGGACCTCCTGCTCCGGCCACAGTGCCGGGAGGACATTCCAGTTCCTCGCCCCCGGGCTCTGGCGTTTGCTGTCCTCTCTCCCTGTTCTTGTTCCCACATCGTGCCCACCGCCTGTCTTCCTCCCTCAGTCATCACGCCCTTTCTGAGTGACCTCACCTGGGGCTGTCCCACCGCCCTCACAGCGGGGCAGCCCGCCTGCCTCTCTGCCCTTGGACCCCGCCCCGCACCCCCCAACCCGCACCCCCCAACCCGCACACTCGGTGTTCTCTTGTTTGTGGATTCTGTCCCCGCTGGAAGCAGCCTCGTTTAGGCGCCATGGCACCCGGAAGAGCCTCGGCAGGTCCCTGTTGGAGGAGTGGACGGAGCTCTGTCCACGGGCGGGCAGCTGAGGCTTGGCCTATGGAACAAGGGAAGTCAGGGCACAGTGGGGACTGGAAGCCAGGCCAGTCCTTGCCCCAAGTCCCCGGAGAAGGCGGGGGGATGGGGTTCTGAGCACAGATGCAGGGAGGACCCCTCTCAAGGGATAGGAGGCGGGGGGAGATACAAGAACCAGGGAAAGAGGGAGCCGAGGCAGGAGGGCCTTGGTGAGCCGTGGGCCTGGCTTCTCTCTCCTCTGAGAGGCAGGAGGAAGTCTTTCTGAGAGAGAGGGCAGCTGGTCCAGGAGTCTGCAGGACTCCGTGTGCCCCCAGGCGGTCCCTGCGGCCACTTCCCCAGCTCCCCCTGGTCTCCCTCCCGCCTGGTGGGCCAGGGCTGGGTGATGACCCCCACGGACAAGATCTGATTGGCCCGAGCATCCACCCAGCTCCTCTCCTGGCAGCTGGGCCCGCCCAGGGGTGCTGCTGGCCCCTTCCCCACCCTAGTTTTCATCTTCTCGCTCATGACATCAATTTCATATTCTTTTTGTCCCCCAGTGGGAAATGGATGCATGCTCATTATAGAAAATGTGGGCCAACAGATCAGAAGAGAGAACACATGAGAAGTTGCTATTCTGATGCGGTATCACCATGGCTCCTCCTGGCCAGGCCCTGGCTGGGCAGGGTGCACGGGCGTGCCCAGCAGGCCGTCAGGCCCTGGTCCCCATGGGGCCTCAGGCTTGGTGGGCCCTGCGGGAGCGGACCAGGTGAGAGCGGCTATTTCATGTCGGCATCTGTCATGGGGGCCACGGGGCAGGTCTGGGGCAGGGCAGGGGCAGGGGCTGGGGCGGCTCAGAGAGCACCACTTTCCATGAGAGGCCCTGCGGAGGGGAGGGAGGGCAGGGCGTCACCGAAAGTGAGGCTATAAGTAGAAAACGGCTTCTGGGATCTCAGCGGCTTCGTCATGGGGCCCTCCCCGCTGCCGGGAAATCAGTTGATCTGGGAAAGTTCCTCCCTTGCAAACCTTTTGCTCTGCTGCTTTTGGGTGGAGCCAAGAAAGGAGCGAAGATAATGAGACCGAATGGCTTTCCTTTCTCAGGGTGGGAGAGGGCCCAGAGTGTGGGCGGGCGATGGTGGGTACAGCCACCAGCGCGGACACTGGCTCCGCCCTCCAGAAAGGCCCCCCGGAGCCCCCGGGGAGGAGTCAGGCTCTGCTCAAACTGACCGGCTGGATTAAGATCGTAAGCAAAAGGCACCTCCTGCTTCGTCATAGTGAAAGGTGATAAGCTGATAAACCCGGCCTCCGAGCTGCTGGGCCCCAGGGACACAGAGGCCCCTGTCCCCCACTGAGGCCCAGTCGGGGGCCACCCTGGAGAACCCCTGAGGCGACTCGGGTTTCTGACATCTCATCTGAGCCGCAAACAGAGGTGTTTGGTGCCGGCCTCACAGGAAACGCTCCAGCGTCTCGCTTCTCACTTGAGCCCCAGCCCCACTTCCAGTGAAACCTCCTAAGCATGGGGTTCCCGAGGTGCCAGGAGGCTCCCTCCCCGGGCCCCACCATCAGCATCTCCTTCCACTCACCAAGCACCATGTCTCTCTCTTCCCCCTTCTCTGCGGCCCGGCCCTTGCCTCCTGCAGGAGAGAAGCAAGAAGACGGGGCAGAGAAAGCTCCCAGCCAACACCCAGCGGCCGGTGCTCGGCCACCATGGCTGACACAGACCTTTCGTGTGCTCTTTCCTGCCTGCCCCCTCCCGTTGCCACCAGAGGTGGCGTGGCTCTGTGAGCACCCGCCATCCCCTGGACGCGGCTCTGACTCACACCACGGGGACCACAGGGCCCTCTGGGGACCGCCTCGGAGGTGCAGGCCGGGAGCTGCCTGCGGCTGCGGCTGTGGCGCTCGGCGGACCCCTAGTGGTGGGGCCCGGAGGCCCTGAGACTGCCGGGCTCAGCTTACAGCCAGGGACATCCTCGGGGACCCTCCCCAGCACCAGCCTCAATTCCAGGCTCTGTTTTGGGAGGGTCACATGGAATTTCACCGGCAGACGCCCCATCTTCCTTTTGGACAGATGGACAGGGATCCAGAAGATGGATGCTAATTTTGTAGTTAATCTTCCATAAGCATCCTCTGGCCTTAGAATGCTCGAATCTCTGATGGAGAGGGATCGTGGACATCTGCCTCCGGGCCCCTCCCTCCAGGCAGAGCGCCTTCCTCAGTCCCGCCGGGTCTAACAGTTCCTGGCGGGGGCTCAGCCTTGAGTGCATGTGGTGCCTTGGTCATCACCCGCCCAGAGGCTGGTGCAGAGCAGGCCACGGGCATCCTCAGCTGCTGCAGGGCCACGCAGACCGGCCAGCCCTGCCGTGGACAGCCCGTGGCACCCGCAGGCAGCCCCAGGCCTTCCCTCTCGGGCCAGCCATCCCTATCATCCTGCTTCGTCAGCGGTGATTCTTCCCTCACTCCGCCTGGGAGCCCAGGGAGGCCCACTCGGCTGCAGTCCGGTGGCCATCTGCCCCGGGATGCGGCCTGCCGAGGCCTCTGCTGCTCCCGGCATCGCTCGATGCGCCCAGGGCCTGGCTCCCAGGGAGGCCTGGCTCCCAGGGAGGCCTGACTGCGGAGTTAAGGCTGATCTCCATGACCCACCGCCCTGCAAAGGCTTCCTGACCTCCGGGCAGGCCTCCGCTCTGGGCACCTCCCCGAGCTTCTCCACGGGAACCACTGAAGACGCCCGACGCCCGGGGCCTGCTGAGGCCGCTGCCCCGGACCAGGGGAGGAGCAGAAAGACCGGACCAGGACCCGCGCCACAGGGCCACACAGGGGGCGCATCTCCCTTCGCAGAGGCGGTGAGTGTGCGCTCTCTAACGATGGGAAGTGATTAGAAATGGAATGGGCTGTCCCTGAACAGTAGGTAGTGAGCGCCCCGTCAGGGAGATGCGCACACAGATCGATGAAAGTGTTATAGAGGCCATGCACTCACCCGGGCAGGGGGAGGCAGGGTGGTTAAGTGTTGTTAAGTGGAGTTGGATGGAGTTTTGGGTTCAGATCCTGGCTCTACTTATCCTCATGTGACCTCGAACAAGCCACCTCCTCGCTGAGCCTCAGAGAGGCCGAGGGAGACGCAGGCTGGCTGCTCATCGAGAGCTGTGATCGTGAGATGACTTCTGAGGTCAGCGTCTGCTCCAGACGCCCTCCTTGAACCCTGACATCCTGGCCCGGCCTCGCCCGCTCTCCTCTCCGCAGGGGGAGGGGAGGGCTCTTCCTGCAGGCCAGGCCTCCCCCAGGGGCTTGCCCACTTTCTTTCAGCCCAGGTCTTGTCCCCCGTCCCCTCCTCCCCTCCCCCCCATCCCAGGCACCCCTCCGACTGGCTGGCTTCCAGGAGAGTGCCACAGAGCAGGCCGGCATCCCCACAGATCAAAATGAAAGGCAAACACCATGCATCTCTCGTCACCACCTTTATTCTGGCTTCCAGCTTGACAAAGTCAATGAAAACATTTATTTAATGACTCTCCCCCCACCCCCCAGCCCACACATGCCACACGCAGTGTTCCAGGCTGCTCTTATATATATTATTAACTCTGATAACATAGTTTAATACTTAACTTTAAATACAAGGGAAAACAATAAATTACTCTTTGGCGGAGGGCCGGCTGCAGGCCGTGAGGTAGCGGGTGCGCACACAGTACTGGCTCCCAGGGCTCTGCCGCTGCTTTAGTGCGGAGCCCAGGTCTCTGCCTCGGCTCCAGGTTCTGGCCGCAGCGGTCTCCCCCACACCACCCCCCCAACCCCCAGACAGACACTTGTTAAATAACACACAGTAATAAATAAGGCCCGCGCTCCTGCCTCAGTCGCCCTCTTGGCAAGGGTGGTGCCCACTTAATGCTAGTTTGCTCTAAGGAAGGGGGGCGCCAGGGCGCAGGCCGCTGGGCGGGGTGGGCTGAAGGCAGGCAGCACAGGCTGAGGTCTAAGCTAAGGAAATCTCCCCCCTCCCCCCACATCCCCCCAAGAAATCCCCCCCGACAGGAGCACGAATCTGCGCCGTAAACGGGGGTCAGAGCCCGGCGGTCCGCTGGGTGCGTTCAGGGGAGCATCCCGTTGCGCACGGCCTTCCGCAGCTGCTGGAGCAGGTCCTTGGCGAAGCGGATCACCTCCACCTTGGTGTCCCGGACCAGCTGGCTGGACCCCTGCCGCGGGCACAGAGGCCAGGGCGTTAGTGGGCGTGCTGGGCCCTCAGAGAAGACCACGGGGTGGGGAGGGGTGGGGGCCCTGCTGTCCTGACTCATTTACAGAGCTGGGCCCTCGTTCCCGGGCCCCAGAAACCCCGGCGGCCACCGTGGACCCGCCCCCAGCTGGGTGGGTGCTCAGCTGCTCCGCCAGGACCCCTGGGGCCCCGGGAGCCCAGGCTGCAGGAGGGGGACAGGGAGGGTGGGGCAGGGCCTCACCATGGCTGAGGGCTTGTGGGGGCAGAATGCTCTCAGCAGCCTCTGGGTCCTCTGGATGGCACGGCAGTCGGACACGTTCACCAGCGACTCGAGGGCGGCACAGTACAGCGGGCGGAGGGAGGCGGCCTGGGGAGGAGGGGGGAGGGACGTCAGGCCCTGCGGTGCCCCAGGGCGTGGCCAGGGCACTGAGAGGCCTGGGGGAGGTGGGCTTGGGGGGAGGGAGGGCTCAGAGCCCCCCAGCCCAGCGAGGGGGCCCTGGGGAGACAGGTTTGGGTCCGGTGCCGGGGGCCTTACCCGGCCAGCTGTCAGGTTGACGCTCCACACCATGCTGCCGTTGCAGAGCGAGGCCTGGGGGAGCAGAGGACAGTGAGCGGAGCCGGCCGGCCAGGCAGGTCTCCGTGGGGATCGGCCCCACAGCGCACACACACACACACACACACACACACACACACACACACACCCATGCTGCACTGAGGCAGGCCCGGCCCTCAGTGCTCCTGACCCCATCTTCTTCTCCTGGGCCTTTGGGAGAGAGACACTGAAGGGCACGCCGCTGTGTGTGACACGCGCCACAGCCACGGCTGAGGGCGGAGGAGGCCAGGCAGCCACCGGGGCCGCAGGGAGGGCCCGCCGGGCAGGCCAGGCGGTGGGAGTCAGGGAGCCGCAGCTCAGAGCAGGGCACTCTGTGCTCGGTGAGTTTTCGTGAGCTAAGTGCTCCGAGGCCCAGTCAGCGAAACGGGCATCGTCCCCGCCTCCGGGGTGGTGATTAGCACTCAGGACCTGCCTCCCTGCCAGCGAACCTGCCGGCAGCGCGGGCTTCGTGAAGATGCTCTGAATGACAGCCCGTGCCCGCGCTCAAATCCCGTCGGCAAATGCCGAGTCGTGAGCGGGCGCTGGCCCTTCTCCGCTTTCCTCTGATCGCGAATGGCCGAGAAGGCGCTTGCTGGGGCAGGCGGGGCCAGGCCAGGGGACCCCCATTCTGCACCCCAGCCTGGCCCCTCTCTCCCCCTCGTGAGCCGGCCCCTGGGGCTTCTCCCTGACCCACTGGCATCTTAGCGCCGGGCCCAGCCCTCCGGGCCCAGACCGTGACCAGTTCTGAGAGCCCAGCACCCAGCACCCAGCACTCACCTTCTGGGTGATGTTGTCCAGCTCCTCGATGAGCTCCCTGAGGACCGTGCTGGCGGGCACGGGGCCCGGGGAGGCGAGGCCGCCGAAGCAGGTGAGGACCACGACCAGGGTCAGCCAGAGCGCCATGGGGCCGGGGCGGCGGCAGGAGCGAGCGAGCGAGCGGAGCGGAGAGCGGAGGCCGGCCGGGCTGAGTGCTTGTGGCCTCGGTCTCTCCTGGCAGCTTTTATAGGCCCCGAGGGTGACGCCTCACACCCTGGTCCCCGCTTTGTCGGCCGCTATCTCGAAACCACATCTTTATTATCTTGATTTTACTTTGTGGAAAATCCAGCGTCGCATAAAGGAAAGTGTTTGATTTCTTGTGGACTTACTAATGACAGGGGTCTGGGCAGTTTCCAAGATCTGGTGGGTGTCCTCCAGGGGCAGGTGAGAGGGCCCGGGGCAGGGGCACCCATGCCGCTGGGCGCCGGCGGGCCTGCCCGCTCCCTCCCCAGGCCCCTGTGGGCCACTGTGTGTGCTCCGGGCAGTGCTAGGACCCCAGTCCACCAGACACGGGAAATTGGGGGTTATTTTTCCAATGAAGCGGTCTTTTGCATTACCGGGGGGATGCTTGCTTCGGATACAAAGACAGGCGGGACAGGCGCAGAGGGAGGTCCCTGCTGTGCGAAGGGTTTTAAACGTCCAGATTCCGGGTCTCCATTGAATGATCCAGGGACCCCCTTTCCGCGTGGCTCTGACCTGGCCCCGGCCCACTGGCACTGGAGGCCTGCGGCCGTCAGCGTGGCCCGGCCTGTCGGCGACCTCACGCCGGTCAGTGCCTGGTCAGAGAGAGGACGGCCCGCCTCTGCCCACCAGCCCCGGGGGCCTCGTGTCCGTCTGCACCGGGAAGCCGGCTCCTGGGTCCCTGGGCGCAGCCCACCCCCTGCAGGGTCCCTGGCACATAGCCACTTCCTGCCCTTCCCTCATTTCTCTGGAAACCCTCCAGAAACCCCCACGGCAGACAGCAGCCTTTGCCCACTGGGTGCTGATGTCAAACCCTCTCCCTCACCCACTTCCTCCCTCCCCTAAGCCAGTGCTTCCCCTCCGGCCCCTCTCTGCTGTCCCCCTCCCCCAGCAGGGCCCAGTCTGCTCAGAAGGGCCTTCCACCCCCATCCATCCACCCCCTTCCCCCTCTGCAGCCCCAGCCTCAGCCTTCTCCTCCCACAGGCAGCGCTCTCCCACCGGCTCTCCTGTCCAAACCCTAAGCTCCCCCCCAACTGCAGGCCTGACTGCTGGGCAGCCCCTGCCCCTCGCTGCCCCCCCGCCCCCGCTGCCTCCCCCCCCTCCCCCGTGCCTGGAGTGCTCCCCTCTCCCGCTGTGTGACCCTCTTGGCCTCTGTTTCTTCATGGGCAGAATAGGGCCAGGGGCTGGGGTCCTGGATGGGGAAGGTTTGGGGAACCACCCTGAGCTGTGCAAGCCCCAGAGCCCCGACAAGATGAGTCAAGGCCTCCCTGCTCCCCAGGACCGGGGCGGGGGGGGGGGGGTGCCGTGTGGGAGAAGATGCGCTGGCCCAGCGGCGATGCCGGCGATAGGCGGCCTTATGTAACCGATGACTGATAAGCGCTGGTTCAGCCGCCCCTCCTCCTGTCCGCCACCAAGGCCCGGCTGAGCCGGCAGCCGGGGCCAGCCCACAGCCAGCCAACCGTGCGTGCGGCTGTTTCCTGGTTTTCTCTGGGCTCCATCAGCACCAAGCACAGAGGGCTGCTCCCGCGCGTGGCCCTGGGTCCGGGCCAGGCAGCCCAGCGCTCAGCCCGCCCGCCCCACCAGCCCTGTGCAAGCTTTCAGAAGATTCCCTTTCCCGATTTCCTTCAATTTTGGGTCTCCGTTGGAAAGGAAACATGCCTAGTCAGCAGGCTAGGGGTAGAGGAGTTGTCTAACTTAGTAGATTTGTATTTTTATGGAAGTTATATGTGTACGCAAATTTAAAAAATAGTTCAAGGGGGCTGATGATGAATAACAGTAGTTTTGAGAATCAGTTCTCTATTGTGCTCTTGCATTTCTGCACTCCTGTGAGTCAGACAGTGGCTGCCCGCTCTATTTGTTTCCCGTGTGTGTGTGTGTGTGTGTGTGTGTGTGTGTGTATTTCAGAGAGGAAGGGGAAGGAGAGGGAGAGGGTGATGGAGGGAGGTGGAGAGAGAGAGAGAGAGAGAGAATCAGAGAGAATCAGAGAGAATCAGAGAGAATTATCGATGGGCTGCCTTCTGCACACCCGCCATGAAGCTTGGGCTCCCTATGACCCTTTTAAAGAAGTTCCTGTGACAAACTGCTGTGCATAATAAATGTTCTTTGTCCCTGATCCCAGAGTTTTGTGTCTTCTGTGGCAAACTAGTTGGCATGCCAAGTAGGGTAAAATCTCAGACCTGTCTGACCTTGCCTCTCCCCCGAAAAACCACCGTTTTCTCTCTTCTTGGTATTTAGCCCCTCAGGTTTCCAAATTTCTTAATTTTCAGGTGTGGTCATTATCTGTGGTTTAGCTGAATATTTCTCTTTCTCTCCACCATTCTTCTCCCGCTTGTATCCTATCAATATATTAGTACATAAATCATACGCTCGGTCAGACAAAAGCCTTGCCCATCGTTTACATAATTATACTAATATATTCATAGCTAAAACATGGCTAATTATGATTATTTTTATTTTCCCTCAAAACTCATTTCCTCTGGAATTGGAAATTGTCTTGCACCTGAAACCTGTACAATTTTGTTAACCAGTGTCACCCCAATAAGTTCAATTAAAGAAAAAAAAAATGTATACCATAGAGAAACTTTTTTAAAAATCTGTTTTCCCACTGGCTTAGTTTTCTTTGTTCTTTAACCTTAATTCTGGGCCTTCTAATGAGTCTCTTCTCCAGAGACTTGGAGTTACGTAGTTATTCTCACAACACCGTCTTCCTAAGAAGCCTTCCTCAGCGCCTGCCCACCTGCCAGGTCAGGGACAGCTGCCCTGAACGCAGGGGTCCTACATGCCTGAATGCAGGCCTGGGCGTAGGACACAGCTCTCCATGTGCCCCCCTTTTCCCTTATCCTCGTGGAAAATTACTGCTACCCCTAGGAATGCTGCTAACTGCAGATGTCTTTGCTTTAGGGTATAACAATTGATAGGAGCCTGCTGACACAGAAGGAGCTGTAAAAGGTCAGGTGGTTGTAAAAGGTCAGGTGCTGAAGGAACTTATCTGTACAGGAACTCACCATGTTAGCAGAAACGGCCACCTGCACGATTGCCTGAAATATTTCCTCCTTCAGAATTGTATTTAAAGGTTGGAAAAATAAAATTCGGGACTTGTCTCAGTCCTCCCGACCCCATCTTTTCCTGTCTTTCCTTTTTCTCATCCTCACCCCCTCAATCAGGTACTGCTCGCTGCCGGCAGTTTCCGGCAGGTGACCCTTCTATGCCGCTGTCCCACTGCCCTGACTCCCTCCACCTCTGCCTTCCCTGTCCTTGAATCCCAGGACACATTCTAATAAACACAGAATTTCAGGCCGGAAGTAATTTTCTTTCAGCATCTTGAACACCTGTGCTATTGCCTCCTAAGTTCCAATACTGCTGTTCACAAGTGCAAAGGCTTTTTGGAATCCAAACCTGTCCTAATTCTCTGTTTCTGGAAATTTTCCTGGTCCCCATGGTCCAGATTCTGCAATGATGTGCTGTGTGTGTTCTGTTTTCATCTACTATGGAAGACACACTGGGGGCCTTTCAGATGGAAATATGTTCAGTTCTTGGAAACTCTCCCTCTCAAAAAAAAAATTAAAATTTCTGTTATCATTTATTAAATTTTGGGAAGTCATTGCCTTTTTGAAAACAGATTTTCTTTTTTTGAGCAGTTTAGATTCACAGCAAAACTGAGGAACAATTATCAAGTCCCCACAGGCCTCCCCCCATCGGCATGTCCACCGGAGCAAAACATCTGCTCCAGCTGATGGACCCGCACTGACTCCACGTCACTGCCACCCAGAGCCCGTCGTTTTCATTACGGTTCGCTCTTGTTCGTTCACTGTCCTGAATCCCCTGTGCTCCACCTGTTCATCCCTTCCTCCCTCCGAACCACAAACCACTTATCTTTTTACTCTCCCCATATTCTGCCTTTTCCAGAACATCACATAGTTGGAATCATAGCCTTTTCAGATTGGCTTCTTTCGCTTAGAAATATGCGTTTACGTTTTTCCCATGTCTTTTCATGGCTTAATAGCTCATTTATTTTTCAGTACTGAATAATATTACGTTGTCTAGATTTACTCACTCACCTAATAAAGGATTGGTCGTTTCTAACTATTGACAATTGGGAACAAAGCTGCTACAGACACCGCTGTGCAGTCTTCATATGGACATAAGCTTTCAGTTCGTTTACAGACACCAAGGAGTATGATTGCTGGGTCATATGGTAAGAGTATGTTTAGTTTTGTAAAAAAAAAAAAAAAAAAAAGCCAAACTGTCCTCCGAAGTGGCTGTACCATTCTGCATTCCCACCAGCAATGAATGAGAGTTCCCGCTGCTCCACAGACCTGCCAGCATTTAGTGTCAGTGTTTTGGATTTTGGCTGTTCTGATAGGTATCTCACCATTTCTCTGAAGAAATATGATGTGGAGCATCTCATTATGTGCTTACTTGCCTTCTGTGTGTGTGTGTGTGTGTATATACATATACATATACATATACATATACATATACATATACATATACATATACATATACATTTTTTTAATGATATTTCTGTTACAGTCTTTGGCCGTTTTAAAAGTTGGGTTGTTATATATTGGATTGTGCATAGTATATAACAGTCCTTTATCTGATATGTCTTTTGTAGCTTGCCTTTATACTCTTGACAGTGTTTTGAAGAGCAGAAATTTTTAATTTTAATGAAGTCCAGGTTATCAGTTATGTCTTTCATAGGTTGTTCATGTAAAAAGTCACCGATAAACCCAAAGTCATCTACTTTTTCTTCTATGCTATCTTATAGGAGTTTTTAGTTTTGACTTTTACATTTAGGTCTGTGATCCATTTGAGTTACTTTTGTGAAGGGTATAAAGTTTGAGTCCAGTTTTCTTTTCCTTTTTTTTTTTTTTCTTTGTATGTGGATGTCCAGATATCCCAGCACCATTTGTTGGAAAGATTATCCTTGCTTCATTGTATTGCCTTTGCTCCTCTGTCAAAGATTAGTTGACTATATTTATGTGGGTCTATTTCTGAGCTCTCTATTCTGTTCCACTAATGGATTAACTAGTCTGTTCTTTTGCTGTTACCACACTGTCCTGATTACTATAGCTTTAGAGTAGGTCTTAAAGTCAGGTAGTATCAGTCCTCCA